ATCCTACGGGAAAGTAACGGTAATCTAATTACCGTTTTTGCAATAGTAATCCCTTACTTTACTCGTTACTTGAAAAAAGTAATGCCCATCTCTGCTCCTGACACTCGTCTCCACCCTGCCTGCACTCTCTTCTTCACCTCTCCTCTGCACTGTCCGTTGGTTTGGATGGTTGACCCCAAGTATTTAAACTCATACACCTTCACTACCTCTACTTCTTACAGCTTCACTGTTCAACAATCTATTTTAACCACTTCTTAGTTATCAATTCTAATTCTTCTTCTTATTTTAAACGGTCAACATATCATTGATGTAACAATTATCATATGACTTTTAACATCAGCCATAAAATTAAGTATTGTGAGCCTACTACATGTGTTTATTGCAGATGTATCATTTTTGATACACCAGTATGAACCTTCCAGATCCCTCAGGTCATCTGGATCCGGTCTTTTATCAGTTCCCAGAGTCAGAACCAGACACGGAGAAGCTGCATTCAGCTTTTATGCTCCTTATATCTGGAACAAACTCCCAGAAAGCCTCAGATCAGCTGAAACACTCAGTTTATTTAAATCCAGGTTGAAGACTCACCTGTTCTCAGCTGCATTTGAATAAAGCACCAAATCCGCACTTAAGCTTAAATTTCAAAACTTACATTTTAACTACTGATTTTATCTACTGTTCTGATTTTATCCGTTTTGATTTTATATACTGTTTTGTTTGTTTGTTTGTTTGTTTGTTTGTTTGTTTGCTTGTTTTAATCAATTTTAAATCATGCTTTTTATTTGTTTTTGTTTCTAATGTCTCTGTAAAGCACTTTGAATCACCTTGTTGTTGAATTGTGCTATACAAATAAACTTGCCTTGCCTATATCTATATATTGTGTCTTATATCATATAGTATTACATGATACTAAAGTTTCATCAGTGTTAAGCATCATACATGCAGACATTCAATACTAATATTTTTTCTTATATAATTAATAGTACTAAGAAAGAAAGACAGAAATTAAACCACCTCAAGAACATTTTTTTGTTTAGCTAAGAAAAATTATGTTCCCCAGTCACAATCACATAATGCTAATTAGGAAGCATATTTACATAAAATGCTTATGCTGTACCATAATTATCCAGCGAAGTTAATGCCTTCATTATATGTTAATTACCTGCTCAACTTAAAAAGCATTGAGAAGTGAATGAGAAGGAGAAAAGTAACGTATCTGCATCGCTTCATGTTTCTGATCTACTGTGTCTTTGACTTATCATCAGCACAGCCCAGTATCTTCCATCTGTTTGTGTCACTACATCAGGCTTCCAGCTGGGATTGTTGTCATAAGCCTCCATTCATAAATATCTTCTAAAAAATCGAGGCTTTTTGGCCCTGTGATGAACAGCGAGGCCAGGCTGATGTATTAGTGTTGTCAAGCGCATGGACTGGTGATAAGAGGCTGCTGCAGCTTCAGTGTCTGCAGTTTAAACTTTCCACCCGACATAAAAATATTTCTGAACTCTCCGTCTTGTTTTGGATCCACTGAAGATGACGACATCGTGCCTTTCAAATATGTGAAAAGGCACAATTATTCATCATTTTGAAGGTCCTAAAACATTCAGAAATATGTTCAATGAATATACTAAATGCACACTAAAGTTTCCTTTTATAAGACAGAAAGATATGACAGCAAAATGCTGATAATAACCTCGCCATTTTAATAATTTTCCATCCAAGTGAATACTTTTTTATATATATATATATATATATATATATACATACATATTACACTGTTATGTGTCCTTGTGCTTCTAAATAGGGAAACATGGCAGGGATGACAGCAATACACGTGGCAAATGATTTGGCCCACCTCAGTCATAGTTTGACTTTGTTAAGAGTTTGGTAGATCAATACCAGTCTGTTTACCAGTCTGAATCAGGTGAGGCATTTCAACCATTTCAACAGCTGCTATAGATTGATCTATATTTAGCATCAGAGCTTTATCAATCTAATTATTCTTAGTAATTAACCTACTTCCCAAAATATCGAACAATGCCTTACATGTTTTGACAGTCTCAACAGTCTGACCCCGATACATCCAGTTTCTCAGAAAGAATGATGATTATCAGGGATGCTTCAGCTAATAAAGGTTCTAAGAACTGTGCGAAGCTGAAACATTTTTATTCTGTACTGACCTTATTATGATGAGTTAACAGCCAGAGTACATTTCAGGGCGGTCACTAAATAAATCCCAGACGCTGTCATGACGCCTCAATTTCAGCCCACATCAGTTGAGGAATCATGTGGTACCCTTTACAACTTGCATGTAATTGGCAAATCACAGATTGTGCAAGTTATTTAAGCTTCTTTAGTCTGCCTACAAGTTGCTTTGCAACCCACCCGGACCACAGCTCCCTAACATTCTGTGCCTGACTTAATCTGTGTCATATCTGATGTTATCTATGCTGCTTCCTGTGCTGCTACCTTTTTACTTCTTTATACATGTGTGTGTGTGTGTGTGTGTGTGTGTGTGTGTGTGTGTGTGTGTGAGAAACAGCAAGAAGGTAAGACAACAAGAACCCCAAATATGCATCACTTCGGAGGGAAATAATCTTTTGGCTATAGGGCCCTGAATGAGCTGTCAATTAAATTAAATTAAATTAAATTAAATTAAATTAAATTAAAAAATTTTCTGCACATTGGGGGGGGGGCTGCAGATGAAAATTACCTGTATGGCCGACTGGTGCATTTCCACGTCAAACCCAAGTGCTCATGTAAACGAATGTGCTTTGTTCCTACATGTAACCACTGAAAACTGCATAATGAAATGTAAGCTTTTGTTTCTAAACCTTGGGAAGTACATCAGTTATTTATCATTTTTCATAATTTATGGCGGTGTTGTCAATCTATAACAGTGTCTATAAGCACATTTGGGTTGGGCAAACTATTTATATACGTTGCAATAATAAAATCAAACAAAAATCTGACTCAAAATGACAAATAGTTTTCTGCAAACAGTGTAATCTGTTGGCCAAGGAACAGCATTAGTGCAGCTCACTGCTCAAGTCAGATTCCAACTTAAATGTGAGATCGAATCAACTTCAGAATAAATAATTGGCACATTAGTATATGATGACTTAATTCACTGTGAAACCCTAATCACCTCATTGTTTTAAGTCAGAGAATTCATAAAGTAGGTCATGTAGCTTCCTGTAGAGTATGCCTCTAACTGTGGCCTCATGACAGCCTCCATTAGCTTTCTTGTGTATCTGATAATTACAAATTTCCTGGAGTCCATTAATCTGTTCTGGCACTTTGTGCTTAGGCACTACCGTCGGTTCATAATGGTGTCAGTGCACTATGGCCTGTGCCACAGCAAACTAACATATGTGAATGCATATTTACAATACGCTTACACATAGGCAATATGAAGTGACACTGCCATGTCAGCGTATGTCAAAATAGAGCAGGACCACGTCAAGTGATGTGTCACTGCTTGATCGCTTTAAGGTCAGAGAGTCACTCATATGAAAACTGAGAAAAGTATTTATCCAGTTGAATCAGCACTGTTGGGCAGCAAAGAAGCAGAAGCAATGGCAGAATCAATGATAGAGGACGTCGCAAGGGAGACCCTTAAAATAGCTGAGTGCGAGGAAGAGGTGTCGGGTGAAGGAAAAGGGAGAAACTGTGCGGGACATTTGTAGAGGGCCCAGAGAGACTGAGTCAGGCAAAATAAACAAAGGAAGGCTGCTATCAGAGGGTCAGTTTCACGGGATCCATTGAGAATTTAAGAGGACGCTATGGCAATAAAAAAGCCAAGAGGACAAGTGAAAAAAGAGTCGGAAGAGTTTAAAAGCATAAACAAAGAAAATTTAAAAATTTATCAATGGCAGAGACAGACAACAAACTCAAACGATATGTGCGTTAATCAAGTAATCAATGCATGTCTTTCATTTCAAAGTGAGTCGACTGATAAAAATCAGTCAAACTGACAAAAGAACGAGTGAAAATCTTAAAGGAAGCAGCTGCCTTCAGCTCTGATCAGATGTGACGCTTTTATCTCTGCTCAGATGCAGAGTGCTGCTGCGAGCGTTGCTAGTAACAGCGCGAGTAATGGCTCAAAGGATACCAAAAGCTTTACATCATTTTCGTTGCTATGCAACCATCCTGTTATTATAAGAAACACAAACTAAAGTAACACAGGTGATAATGTTTTTGAAAATCATAATGGGCAACCAAAAAAAGGATGTTGAATTACCGCGAGAAGCAACTGGGGCATCAACCAAAAATGGTCCACAGAGTGTGTCACTAATGGATAGTTTCACATTTTTCCAAGTCTGTGTTAAAACATTAGCGGATGGCCAGAAAAATAATGAAACTTCAAAAAAAAAAACAAAAACAAAAAAACAAAAACATTTTTTGCCTTGCCAAAAATGTTCTCATTGGAAATGATGGTAGACAAAATCTGCAGTACTGTCTGTGAAAAATGCCTTCAGCAGCGTGAGTTAAAACAAGTAGATATCACCTCAAGATTCTATTTAGTAACAAATTCCTTTTTTGTTGCAACTGTTTGATTGGCACAGAGAAAATACCACTTGTATTTGTCAAACTTAGACGGGTTCTCTTGCTCAAAGTTGATGTTTTTGTAAAATATGTTTGTGAATTTCTTTTCATAGAATGAGCCTTTTGCACCACATCACTAAAACTGTCGAAAATAAACAGCTAAAAGTAAGACAAAACGCAACATAACTGTTGATTGGATCTTGATTAGAGCCTCAATCAGAATCAGAGAAAAAAAGTCGGAGAAAAAATGAAATTTGTCTGCTCACCCATCTCGGGATGGTGCCTTCCCTCAACAGGAACGCTGACTGTCCGCCGCAGCAGCTTGTTCCTGTGAGACTCTGAGCGCCTCTCGCGCATCAGCAAAGGGTGTACCTGCACAGGGAGAGCACAAGGTCAGTACACAAACTCACACTCCAGCAAAAACGGCGACCTAAAGTTCTGTACAGAACAGCTACAAACTCTTTCTCTTTGACGCCTATGAGGAGCCGATGCTCACACGTATTTTGACAAACAACTGCAGTACAGTTGCACTAATAATTTTAGATTTCTGTGAAATTATAAGTGCTTCTGGGAATAGACTGGAGCAAAAATTGCTTTCTAGACAAAACAGAAAATAGTTCTATAATGGGACTGTTTTCAAAATCATTAACGAACTCATAAACCTCTGCTGAAATCAATCAAACAGACCACATTAGCCCAAAGTGCCTTTATTATGTTTTATATGTTTTCTCTATTCCTTAGCTGGTTATATATACATATTGTTGTACATGTCAAAACAAAGTTCTACCCAAAAATTATTATATATCATACTAATATATAAACTAGAGGCTATTTGACACCCAAATCTGGATATTAGATGGGTTAGGAGGCTATTTTTAATTGTCTATCGGGCCGGTTTCTTGAAAAAAATCAGCCCTGGCTAACTGATCCATAAAAGTCTCAGCTATGAGCAAAGCACAGCAAATATCACAGCACAAAATCTTTTATGGACTCCTGGTATATGAGGAACTGAAGGCTCAGCAAATTACTTTTATTTTAAGCCTTCATATTTAATATTAGCACAAAGCATGGCTAATGTGGTTAATATTACCATGGTCCCTTTTTGCTCTTTCTCTCGGTCTTATATTTATTTTTAATAAAGAAGAATTCCCAGTTACGGTGCTCTTATTTACATATGTTTTAGTTTTCTTGTGTTTCATCAGCTGACCAACAAACGCAAAATGAGGAGTGACAGCAGGTGAAATGGATCAATTGAGAGAGGGGATGAAAAAAAGGTCCTTTTTTAAAAAAAAATAATGTGGTTTTGAACATTAAAGCAAGTAAACTATTCTAATAGAATCCTGAAATAGATTTATGAGCCTGTAAATGAGGATAATATGAGCACAGTTAATGTTGGTTAAGATGTAGCCCACAGGCCAACATTTGGATCATGTTCTTTAAAGTCTTTGCACATCACCCAACAAAAGTAAAAGAAAGAATATATTATTAAAAAAAGGAATCACTGTATATCTTCCACAGCAGTTCACTTTGTGACTGAAAACCCAAAGCAAAAAGACAAGGAAAAAATAAAACAGACCACATTTCACACTGCTGCCACATTTGGGCCCACAGTCCCTGAATTCATAAAAGTGAGACTTGAGGGAATATAAATGGGAGAATGTGCTGCACTAATCAGAAACCCTGGTCCTTTGGAAACATCACAGTTCCACCCAGAAAATACAGCGTATACTGTACAGCACCGACCTATAAATCTTGGCTGAACACCAAAGCTAGTACATTGTTGGCAATGAGCCCCAGAACACCAAGGAAACACAAAGAAATGCCAACAGAAATCTATGATGAGACTTGACTCAAAATAACACACTGTGATGCACCAGTATGTGAAAGCTGGACTGCTGTATTAAGCTGCATTAGATTTAGGTTGGAGTTCTTACTAAACTATGTGTTTGCTGCATTTTAGTCCCATTTGGTTGACTGGATTGATGTTTGTAGCATTGCTTTTTGACACCAAACACCTCATGTTTGCTCTTAAAAAGCCAGGCTTCAGCGCAATCAGGCAGCTATTTCAACAAAATTAACCCCCTTTCTCCACCTGACCATTACCAGACTGCAGAAAACAAAAAAGTGTCAGGTAGCATGCTGAAGGAGGCAAAAGGCAGAGCTCAGAGTTTAGTTAATATTAAACAAAAAGACATTCAAATGCCTGTAAATTTAATACGTTTTTGGTCAACTTAGGCACTCTAACCCAACACAATTCAACTACATATTCTGCCTTAAGATATATTTGTCACCTTTGTTACTTAACTGTTTGAGTTGCTTCATTAGTTTTAAAAAGAATATTTCAAAGGGATTTCTTGTAAAGTTTTCTTATTTAATAAAAATAAATTTTCTAGCTTTAAAGTCTTCTAGTGCTTTTTTAAAATTATTTTTTTTAGTGTTTTAGCTCATTTTTGTATACTGAACTTCTGAATCTATGTTATAT